AAACGCAAACAATTGTCGCTCTAATCAGGTTATTGGTGGCGTTGGATCAGTCAGTACTCATCACGAGTTACACACACGCGGCCGTCGATAACATACTCTTGAAACTCAAACAACAAGACATTGATTTCTTACGAATCGGGTCCGAGAAACGAGTGGATCCGGCGTTACATTCGTTTACCGTTTCGGCAAAAACTGGAAGTTTTACGACTGTTGCAGAGCTGAGAGACTATTACTCGACCATCAAAGTGGTGGCCGCCACGTGTTTGGGTGTTTCCGGTCACCCGATATTCACGCACCGAAAGTTTGACTATTGTGTTGTAGACGAGGCCTCGCAAGTGCTTTTGCCCACATGTTTGGGGCCACTGTTTCACTGCCAACGCTTCCTATTGGTCGGCGATCACAAACAACTGCCGCCAGTAGTCCAGAGCGAATCCGCCCGACTCTTAGGTTTAGATCAGAGTTTGTTTGTTTTGCTCCAAAACGATACAAACACTACTGATCTGACCATTCAGTACCGCATGAATTCAGAGATAATGCGAATTAGCAATGAATTGACTTATAATGGAGTCCTTAAGTGTTCATCACTTGATGTCTGCAATCAGACGCTCACTGTGTCGGAGAAGTCGTCAAATATGTCGCCAAACACTTGGTTACAGGAAGTAATGCAAAACGATTTGTCCAAATCTGTTATCTTCATTGAAACCGATTCAATACCGGCGCCAGAGATTCGCGATATTAAAGGAAAGACTTTCAATGAAGTCGAGGCGAGAATTGTAAACATTTTGATCGCAAACCTATTGACGTGTTTTGAGATCACTGGCCAACAGATCGGTGTGATTAGTCCCTATCAACGACAGGTGCGCTTCTTAAGGGACGCCATTGGTGTCGAAGGTGTGGAAGTGAATACTGTGGACCAATTCCAGGGCCGCGACAAAGACATTGTCATCTATTCGTGTGTCAGGAGTAACGCAAACGGAGAGACGCTGTCGTCGTCTGAGATATTGAACGACGAGAGACGGCTGAATGTGGCGCTCACTCGAGCAAAGAGAAAGCTGGTGCTCATTGGCAGCCGAACCACACTTCTTAGATACACACCATTCCAGCGGCTGTTCCACGTCTTGAGAAGTGATCAGATTCTGTCACTCAATGCATGCGATTTGCAATGATTTTAGGAATCATTTAAATAATTATTCTTTTAATTTCTTTATATATTTATTACAAATTATAAATTGTTGTTTTGAATGAATGATTTGAATGTATATTTTATAAAAGCTTAATGTTTGGTATTTTTTCAACTAACTTGTAAGAAATAATAATAAATGAATGATATTTTAAGTGACACTATAGTTATCGTCAGACCAGACAACGTCTGTCTCACTCTCGTCCACGTCCTCATCGGAGGGCGGGATGTCGTCGACCTCCAGATCGAGCGTTGAGCTCACGTTATCGCCGGCTATATGTGACTGATGTTCCAGTCGTTGGGAGCCTTCGCTTGAGTTACGATAACTCAGTTCTAATCTATAGTTTTTCATACAATTAAATTAAGTGTTTATGAGTTTTGTAATAACCGATTAATGATTGTAATGAATGAACACATACTTAGAGACAATGCTTCGGTGATGGGATGCCTTCTCGTGTTCATTCCTTCCAGTATAGCATTCGCTTAAGATTTTATGCAATTTCACGTTGGATTCGCTGTTTTCTATGGCTTTGTTTAGTCTATAAAAAACGTGTTAATTAATTCAATTAACTGTAATATAAAAACTATAGTTAATAAATAGCGAATGAATTGGTCGTACATTTCGACGGCTTTATCATAACTTTTATCCTCTAAATATAGGTTTGAAAGTAAATACACGGCATTCAGATATGTCGGGTCCTGTTTGACAGCCCTTTCCAGCGCTTGTTTAGCCTTTGATTTCTCATTGTTTACAGAATCGGTTAGAAATACAGTCGCGACTAACTATTGGCCAAATAAAATCATTTAAAACAATATCACGGTTACGACAGTACTTACAGTTAGTGTTCGGGGCGAGTGTCCCAACGTCTTGAGGGCCACGTTAGCCATGTTTGCGGCCAATTGTTTCTGACTTTCGGCCAAATATACTTCAGTGAGACATTTGATTGGTTCGAACCGATGCGGAGCATTGCTATGCGCTTCCAGGAAACATGTCTTCGCTTCCGAGCGCTTACTCTCCGATAATATGGTTCCCTTCAGAAGCAACGCTTCCACTGAATTATTGCTTAGCGTACAGGCCTTTAGAGACAACAAATGGTGATTGTTTTAAACCATTATTAAACATAATTTACAACTAAAAACTATTCAAACCTTTTGAGCAAAGAAATAAGATTTGGATTCCTTTTTATTAGAAAGAAAACAATAATAGGAGAGCACAACCCATGGCTCGGCCACCGATTCCAGCGAATCCGCCCTCTGGACCAACTGATTGGACAGATTCTCCAATTCTTTCAATTGGTTCTCTTTGGCCAAAACAGACGCATAGCAGTCGAGACCGCGGATGAGCATCGGGTCGGCGGTGAAGGCCTTCTTGAAGTATTGAATGGCTTTCTTATAATCTCCGCTATAATAGTAGGCTTCGGCTAATGAGGTGATGATCTCGACGTTGCCTTTAAGTTGTGTGCTGTCATACAACTGGCGCAACAGTGCGATCGCATTCGACACTTGTATGGATTGGAGGGCCGATTGGGCCCGAATCCAAGTGCTCAGCCAAGCCATGGCCGGTGTGCTGGCGATCGCCGGGTTCACGATATTCAAGATGTCCGTCACCTTCACATCCAATCGGATCAAGTGGTGAATCGCTGTCAACGCGAACGGCGACTCTTTGAGCACTTCCTTAAAACAATGGACAGCACTTGGATTGCCGTTCAATCTATAGATCTCTCCCAAAGCCATATGAATGCGTGAATTGCGCTAACAATACAAATGGCATTTCATTAATCACTCATTAGTGGTAACAAAGAGTAAAGACAGACATGTTTTGCGGGAATGCTCTCCAAAACAATGGACGCGTTTGAGTGTTGCTGTTGTTTGAGATAACATA